AGTGTTCAGGCAGTCTTTAAAGTTTAGATCAAAGCCTCAACTCAAGCTGTGATACCAATTAAAGTTTAGATCAAAGCTTCAACTCAATCTCTGATACCAATTAAAGTTTAGATCAAAGCTTCAACTCAAGCTCTGATACTAATTAAAGTTTAGATCAAAGCTTCAACTCAAGCTCTAATACCAATTAAAGTTGCACAAACACACAAGTTTATAAGAACTAGCACTTCTTATTAGATTTAGAAACTCTCTCGAAACTAAATCAATGTGTTTCTCTTAAGTCTCTTCTCTTAGAGACTCTCTTCTCTTAAGGGATGCAACATCTCTGCAACTCCTTATATAGGCGAAGTTACATCTTAACCTAATAATAATATGGAAACATTCCTAATCTCGATATGTTTTCCTTTTTCCTTAACTTACTAAACTTCTCTTTAATAAGTTAACTTTCTTCTTCAGTTAATTGGAGTTATCCAACATTCTCCCCCTTAATTCCAACTTGAATTTTAGGCTTGTTGATCTCTTGAACTCTTGGTATGTTCATGACTTCGATGTGATCATCTTCTACACACTCACAGATGAAATGGTACTTCGAGAGTATGTGTTTGTTTCTCCCATAAAACATCGTCTTTACATCAAATTGCTTAAGCTCTATGTCATGACGTGCTACCAGCGCTAACAACACTATAATGGAAGTGTGTCTAAACATCGATGAGAATATCTCATTGTAGTGTACTTCCTCTCTCTGACTGAAACCTCTTGCAACAACCCGAACTTTAGACTTAACTCCTTCTACGGGTGATGCTTCATCCTTAATCTTGAAGACCCACTTGAAACCTATCAGTTTCAAACCTGCCGGATTCTTAACAAGCTTCCAAGTCTTGTTTTCGATGATAGATTCGATCTCTGCCATCATCGCATCGATCCATGCTTGTATCAATGCAGCTTCAATGTAACTTTCTGGTTCACCATCAACGGTGAGCAAGAGTCTACCACCTTCAACTTCAACGAGTAGAATGTAAGCATCAAACCGCTTTGTTTTTCTGATGTTACGAACATATCTCGATGTTACATGCTGGTCTTGGTTCGCATCGTTATTCTCTGCTATTTGTTCTTCTTCCGTTGCAGCTTCAAGTTCTTCTTCGTTTGCAGCTTCAAGTTCTTCTTCTTCATCGTTTTCTTCATGCTTATGGTGATCATGATTCTTAACACCATCCCCTTCTTCAACCATGTTCTTAATGACTTCAAAATTTGCATGTCTAAGCTGTGCATGCCACATCCATGTAGCATCGATTTCTTGTATCTGAAGACACATCGAATATTCAACCTCCATTGGCGTCTTGTACAATCAGTTTGGTGATCTTGAGACTTGTACCAATAGCCTTCCACAAGGATCTTTCAGCATCCATAAATCTTCTCTCATATTAACTTCACAACCCGTCTCGGTTGCTTGTCCAAGACTTATGATATTGTGTTTAAGAATTGGGATGTAGTAGACATCTTTGAGTGCTCTTCTCTCTCTTGTTTTTCCGATGAACGTGATCAAACCTCTCCCAACAATCTCGACGTTTGATCCATCATCGAATTTGACTTTGCCTTTGATGCTCTCATCAAGACTTGAGAGAACTCTCTACTCCCCGTCATATGGTTACTTGCACCATTGTCTAGATACCATATGCTTGTATTTCCATAGCTTACATCAAACATTTTAGGGAACACTCTCTCTTCGTTGAGAAATGCAACTTCGTGCATATATAATGCATCTTCTTCTTGTGTTTCTGTTATGTTAGCTTCTTGGTCTTGTGTAGGCCGTGTAGGACAGACTGATGCGAAGTGTCCCATCTTGTCACATCTCCAGCACTGTACCTTGGAATAATTCTTCTTAGTCTTCTCAGAAGCTTCTCCTCCTTCGTTGTGACTACTGAATCTTCCGTGACCTCTACCCCTGCTACCATAACCTCTACCTCTTCCTCGCGAGTTGTTGTGGCTTCCATGACCTTGCGTATCATTCTTCACAAACAATAGCTTTGTTTGATTTTCATCTTGGGTTTTTTGTTTGATGCGCTCTTCGAAAGTCTTTATTCCCCCAACAACATCTTCAAAGCTTGCTGAATTTAGATCAAGTAGTTATTCTAGAGAAGCTACGATGTGTATGAACTTGTTTGTAGAAATTTCATCTAAAAACTTCTTTACCAGCCTTGGTACATCCATGATTTTACCTAACGCGGCTGACTCTAATGCCCGATAGTTTTCCTGCATAATCATACACCATGTCTGCATCTGTCATCTTCAGTTTATCGAACTCAGACATCAAGGTCTGTAACCTCTCTTCTCTCACACGATCAGCACCTAGGTTACGTGATTTGATAGCATCCCAAATCGTCTTTGATGTATCGTGTTCTCCAATTTGAAGAATCAACGCTTCTGGAATCGACTGAAAGATTAGAGCAATCGCAGCATTGTTCTTCTTAACATCGATGTTCCCTGGCTCGATAGTATCCCAAACTTCATATAAACGAAGCAACACCTTCATCCTTATCGACCAAACGGTGTAGTTGGTCGATGTTAGCATCGGACATCGTATGTCCTTCTTCATCACAAGACCTTTATCACGTACTTGAGAAGCGACATCGTCTCCCATGTATTGATTGAATTACAACTCCTCTTGTAAACGATTTCGAAACCTGGAGGCTTTGATACCAATTAAAGTTTAGATCAAAGCTTTAACTCAAGCTCTGATACCAATTAAAGTTTAGATCAAAGCTTCAACTCAAGCTCTGATACTAATTAAAGTTTAGATCAAAGCTTCAACTCAAGCTCTAATACCAATTAAAGTTGCACAAACACACAAGAATATAAGAACTAGCACTTCTTATTAGATTTAGAAACTCTCTCAAAACTAAATCAATGTGTTTCTCTTAAGTCTCTTCTCTTAGAGACTCTCTTCTCTTAAGGGATGCAACATCTCTGCAACTCCTTATATAGGTGAAGCTACATCTTAACCTAATAATAATATGGAAACATTCCTAATCTCGATATGTTTTCATTTTTCCTTAACTTACTAAACTTCTCTTTAATAAGTTAACTTTCTTTTTAAGTTAATTGAAATTATCCAACAGTCTTAGAAGGTAATATTTAACTCTATATCACCATGTATTGTCTTTGGCAACCATAACAAACGAATTTTCCTCATTTGTTTAAGAAACTCCCCTTTTTTAGATGCAGCAAAGAACTGAAGACCTTTAGAAAAGGCGATATTAGTTATTTTTGCTATTTTGCACCTGATGCTCTAACTCATGGAATGGATGTTATAGGGGTAACTAATGTCAGTAACTATGATATGCCTCTATTTGAAAAGACTTTCATCCATCGTACTGGACAGACAGCTGGAGCAGGCCAGTGCAGAGGGTGCTATACTTTGCTGAGTAGTTATGAGGTACAGTGAAAACTACACAAACAGACAGTGAAACGTTCTTTCTCTTTATGATTGTCCACAGTAAGTGTAACTTAATTCACAATCTTGTGAATAACACCTTAGATAAATACTAGAGAAGTGTGTCTGAATATGGGGAAGAAGTACTTTTAGTTTCAGAATCTTGTGTGTTATCTCACTAAACTGTAAACTCTTAAGATAATTGTATAGGACAATTGCTTGGACCTCCTTTATCTGATTATATGCTCATTTATGGTTAAGCTCTTGGCTATAGCCTATGTTTGTTCATTCGAATAATTCATTAATTGCAGGTAAGGCGTTTTTGGAAGCTCCGGAAGATAGTTGAGAGTAATTCATACCCAATCTATCCAATCCCAACCGAGTAAACTTCCTAGCCTTCTGCTAGGAAACAAAATAGACATGAAAAAGTGGTGTTATATGGAATTAAAATTACGCGGCTCTTAAAACCATTGTTTTGTTACTTGCGTCTTTTAGATTTAGCGCACTATTAACAGATTAAGAGTTCTATGGAAGTCTCTCAAGAATGCATATGATGTTGTAAAAGCATAAAACATTCACTGCAGGCCATTGATAAACTGAATTGAACTCTGGTTTTGATAAAACAAGTCATTTCTTATTCCAACTCTAGAGAATCTGAAGGAGATGGTCGAAAGGAAGACAATGTTTAATGCGTAATTCAGAGCCAAACGCAAGAAAACGACATAAGAACAAGCATATATAGCCCTTCTAAGGGCATATGCAATGGTGTTCCCACCCATGAGTCCTTATGAATATTATAGTAATATTATTTTTTTTGGTTTTTTTTTGAATAGTTAGGGATTCTTATTAAAAGTGAGTGTCCAATGGTGTTCCCGACGATAGAATCCTTATGAATTTAAAAATAATATAATTTTCTTTCTAAAACTGAAATTTAAATTTTCTTAATTTCATTATTAAAAAATTTAAATTTAAAATTTATTTTAAATTTAAAACTGAAATTTAAAAATAATATAATTTTTTTTGAAAACTGAATTTAAAAATAATATAATTTGTTTTGAAAACTGAATTTAAAAATAATATAATTTTTTTTGAAAACTGAAATTTAAATTTAAATTTTATTATGAATTTAAAAATAAATTTTATTAATTTCATTATTTAAAAAGAAAGATACAATGATTAAACATAAAGTGATTTTTTTCTCAATTGATCTAAAATGATTTTTTTTTCATAAACCAAAAACAAACACACCACAAACCGACACGTGTGCTAAGGATCAAGTCCTTCTAAACCCTTATATTAGGATTGATCCGTCAATATTTAAACCACAATTGATTATAATAATCATCTTAATCCCAAGGATTAGCCATAAGGATTGGCTACGTTCTCCCGTTGCGGACGGCCTAAGCATCCACAGATTCATTATTATCTTTCCATACAATTGACTTATGACTAAAAGGTTGCTTTTTTGGTAAACAATGCTAATTAAGTTCATGATACTTACAAATAAATAATTTTTGCTGTAACATATATTTATAGATATAACAAGGACCTTGATTCAAAGCGAATCAATTGATTAGCAAATCCTGCCGGGTACGCAACGGAGAGGACCGGCCGAGGCAGTAAGAGAAGGGACTTGAGCCCCCGGGGCCACTGGAAACCCTTCTCCACGTGCGTAAGGCGGCGGGACGCCCGGTCCACCAGATGGCACGAAGAAAGCTCCGTTGATGAAAACGTCCCTATTCGTACTCCATTTCCATTTTTTTGCTTCAGGACTTTTATCCATTCTCTTTGTCACCTTAATATTAATACAAAGCGTGTATTAGAAACACAACATAGTTTTGAGTATATTTATACATTCTTTGGATTTGGAACTTAAAATCGGTTGATGTTGAGACTATATTAATTAGCCTACAAAAATCATATAATATATGTATATATTCTGTTAAAATATAGTCTTTCTTTTTATCTACTGACACAATTTGTCATTCAAATTTGGACCATTTCTAAAGTGTTACAAATAATACAAGTTATATAGTTGATTGAACCGCATTACTTAAATTAAACTGACGGTTATTTATGGAATAGAGTTTTGAGCTTACTTTTGTTTTTATGACATTTAATTGTTTGGTTTTTGGGCTTAGTATTAACGAAAAACTCCAAAAACATTAAATAACTTTTCCACCTTAATGGATCAAAAATCAATTACTATTTTCAGGACCAAAAATATTTAATATTTTCAACAAAACAAAATCATCTATTATTAATCACTTATTTAAATCATGTACTTTAGAACATGTTAATATTTTTTAGCCCAAAAATATTTAATATTTTCAACAAAACAAAATTCTCTATTATTAATCACTTATTTAAATCATGTACTTTAAAACATGTTAATATTTTTTGTTTTAAATAACAATCACTCTATCTTGATAAATTTTAATGGTAACTTTTAAATAATTTTATTGTTTTGTTTTTTTAAATAATTTACATATTTAAAAAAAATGTAAAGCAAAAACAAAAACCAAATCTAAAAACTAAAATCCAAAACCAAAAGCTGAAAACGCAGATATATTTTTTGCTTTTTTTATTTACAAAATAAACTGTTTCAAAATTTTTAGAAAATTGTTTTGTCATATTTTCAGTTTTAAATTACATGTTCGATTAATTGAGATTTGTTGGTAATATCAGTTCAAACTAACTCAGCGGGTCTAAAAATTAAAAACCCAAACCAAAATCAAAAATAGAAACTTAAAAACTAAAAACCAAAATTTAAAACAAAATCTAAAAATTAAAACTGAAACTAAAAACTAATGAAAAACAACTATCACCACAAATTTTGGTAAACTAATTTTATACCAAAACATTCTTTAAATTAAGACAAAACCCAATTATATAAATTTTTAATCATAAAAAATTTTGTGGAAAAGCGCGGGTCAAAATCTAGTAATCATTAAAGACTTGGTTGATGATGATGATAATTCTAAATTAAGAAACCTCTTTGTGTGCTTTTATGTCAGGAGCAACGAAGTGGTTGCCTTCACTAAAGATAGTAGGATCAGCACTTCCTCCGATCGCATACAGATTCCATTTGTTGTACATATTATTTGCTACATGCGCATACCCTCTTCTTACCCTGCCATGTTATCATTCACATATCCACGTCAGCATTTTCTAATCTACTAATTATAATTTATATCTATCATAAACATACATAAATTTTCATACGTACCTAGGCATTCTCTCAGTGAGACCCGGTCCAAATACATTAAACGCAACTGTAACTTTCATAATCTTATCAGCCATAATTGCGTCAGAACTTCCAAGCAACACCGCCTTCGTAATAACATTGCATCAATGTTCATACGTTTTGAAGTTACAATTGCATGTAAAAAAAGGTATTAATATATATACTTACTTTGCGGTGATTGATGAAACGATTATTAGAAATAGTGACAGCCGTAGAAGATTGAAGCACATCTAGCAAACCATCTTGACACCGAGCAAAGTGACAATGATCTATCCAAACATGTCTAGATGTATACACGCGGATTCCGTCACCGTCAAATCCTTTCTGCAGTTTACAATCTTGGAGAGTTATCCCATGTATAATGACATTGGTCGCACGTTTGATCGAAATGCATGGCCCCTTACCAATTTCCACTTTTGCTCCTCTCCCGTCTATCGTCTTAAAGCTCGTCACTTCGAGCTCGTTTTTCAACACTATGACCATGTCACGTGCGAATGTGATCCATAGTGGGTTACGTTGGGTCACCCCAAATCTTAAGGTTCCGGGTTTAGGGGCTCCAAGGTCATCTGCTGGGCTTGTAACCACGTAGATAGGCCCTTGTCTACCCCCGAACGCGGCTTTCCCGAACCCTACCGCGCAATTGGCAAGGGCTTGACGGTTAGTCGACCATTTAGGGTCTCTTCGCCAGCAAGCATCAATAGGATTTAGTGCTGGCCCGGCGAGGGTGGAATTACCATTACTATAATTGAAAGCATCTACAAGGGGAGAAGCAAAAGTTGCAAAAAGGAGTGAAAATGTTAATAACACGAGTGAAGCCATTTTCTTTGAAGATCTAATGCTTGAATTGAACAATGTATGTGTGCAAATATCTATGCACGAGTCACAACATAGATGTGAGATAGCGAGAGAATATACGTACGTATCAGTATATATATATATATATTATAGTATTTGCACTCACAAATGTGATTTTTATGTATGTGTACGTAAATGATGATGTGAAGGAGTACGATACCACACACAGATGACACTTACCGTAGTTGAGTGTTTAAGAATACGCCTAACATAATAGCGCGTCTCGGCGTCGTCCTATAGCGTCTACAGGACGTTCGCGTGGGTTTAGATGTCCTAGAAATATATAATATGATAATTAAAATGTATTTCAGATATTAACAATACTTTTCCAAATAATGATAGAAGTTATATCATATTCTTTACAAAATAAAATAGAAATATCCAGAATTTGTTAACGATCGTAAGTAGAGTTTTTTCCACAAGTAGAGTTTTCTTGTTTCGTTCTGGGAATAGATCTTCTATCTGCTAAGTTTTGGTTCTAGAAAAAGAGTCTTTTATGTTGGCTTTTGGTTTCAGTATTTTGAGAACTTGCCAGTCTTATTCTAATTTATGAGTAATATGATGGTTGAAATTGAATCTATCAATGTAATCTTCTAGTAAGAAAACAAATCTCAAGTCAAACCTCTAAATTTAAACTACTATACATAGATTTTCAATCTCGGAAAATCCTTTTCCAACAATAATATTTTCATCAATACAACTATCATCATTTGATTTATATGACCATGGTCCAAATATCATAAGTAGAAATCGATCTGTGGTGATGCAACGTGTCTCATGCTAGTAACATATGTATTTTTGTTTCATGGATAAAGTAATTAGTCCATGTAGTGGCGTCTGATTATTTAGTGAAACAAACCGTATTTTTAATTAGGGAAGTAACTACGAATATTAAATCTTTCTTAAAATAATTAATTCTTGCAGACGTGTTTTAAATATTATAAACAAATTAACCGTTGTTCGTATAGATCGTGATCTCTAAATATTTTCTGTTTAACCTTAGACAAAAAATATTTAAGATTCCAGTAGTTCCCACATGTTTCACTGACATAGTATTTTGTCTTGTAGTATTGGGCTACGGATGTGGGCGACTTCCACGAGGAAGCCTTAGAAATCAATCAACATTTTGTTAATAAAACAAATTACAGGCAAAGGTCAAGTAGGAAGGTGTTCTCTTGCAAATAACATGGATATGCTTCACATCATTCTCAATATTCTTCTGCCTCCTCTTACTATCCTTTTCCTTTTCCTCTTCTACCCGATCTATCTTTTCATCAAACTTCTAAATTGTGGTTGTAAGCATCTTTGGGTTGAAAACGTCGCTGGAAAAGTAGTTCTAATCACTGGGGCTTCCTCCGGCATCGGAGAGGTTAGGCTTGGATTCACTCTTCTGTCAATATGATCTCTCTCTCCCTTGAGAGGCATAATTATCATCCAAAAGTTTAATTTTCTAATTGTGAAAATGATAGTTTATTTCACTAATTTTCTTTAATTTGGTCACTTCTAAGTCGACGTGTTTTGTTGATATGTTTTTTTTTTCGTCACTGAAATAAAAAGCATGTTGCATACGAGTACGCGAAGAAAGGAGCATATCTAGCTTTGGTTGCCCGACGAGAGGATCGTTTACATATAGTAGCAGAGACATCACGACAGTTAGGTTCACGGGACGTTATAACCATACCTGGTGATGTTACTAAGATTAATGATTGCATGAAGTTCATCAATGAGACTATAAGTCATTTTGGAAAAGGTGAGTAATCAAATACAGACATAATAAATTGTCTATGATCTTATAAATATTACTTGGTTAAATAGATATAGTTAATAAAAACAAATGCATTTTAATCATTTTCTTGATATGTGTGGAGATTGTCTTAAATGATATGTTTATGAGACCGGTGGAGGAGTATAAGAGCAACATTATTAGGGTCCCAAGCCTTGGTCCTTAATACTTTTGGCATGGAACTCAGTGACTTTTGACAAAAAAAATTTTTGTTTGTCCTTATATAAGCGACGTCTCAAGCTTTATCCCAAACTGTTTGTAGGCCCCACTGATACCTAAGGACCAAAAGAAATCCTATCGATAATGATGGCCTAAGAGCAACTCCACTGCAAGAACTCCTATATCTATTAATTGCATTATTTAAGTTTCGAAAAAAAAAATCTATCAATTTAAAAGATTTGCAAAACTATGAGAGAGAGGAGAGTTTCGTGAGATATGTACCTGCAACGGGAGTCTTTAGGGAAGAGTTCTTAGGAAAAAATAATTAAGTAATTAGTAGATTCCACAGAAAGTTAAGGATTCGATCCTTAAATTTCCTAAATAAAGAATTTGTTTTAGCGAATCCTTACACTATTTACGGGTCTTCACGACACGTGGCAATTCGCAATTGGTAGATATTTTAAAAATAAAAAATAAAAAAATAAAATAAAAATAATAATTAAAAATTTTAAAAATATTTTTTTAAGGACTCCAACAGGTAACACCGTTGGAGATGCTCTTACATCTGAGACTTTTGAAATATTTGAGACTTTTTTTACACTTGCCAATTGTTATTAACTAGAACAACTAAAATATAATGAAGTAATGATATTTTAATAAAAATAGTATTATGTAGTGATACTTGTTTGAGAACTTTTTTCAATGGGGTTACTCCAATTTAATGAGAAATCTGATGGGAGTTAGAACATAAATGTGTTATGGAAGGTTTATTATATATATATATATATATATATATATATATATATATATATATAGTTCTCTAAGAAAACAAGAAGATATAGTTATATCAAGAAGAAATCAACCTAGAAAGTAGTTTTGTTAGAAGGGTTCTCACCTAAATTCTTAAGTAAAATAATTGTGTCTTATTAGGTGATTATTTTTAAACGTTGAAGATGCTACTTTTGGTAGAGTTCTCAGTTATTTGAGTTACTTACCTTATCAAGTATTATTGTTTTGTTTTCCCTATATGTGTGAGAAATTCAAGTGTAAAACTGCTAAGGAAGATGTTCAAAGCCTTTTAAACTACATAACAAAAATATTCATTAATAAAGGTATTTTCTTAAACTATCATTTTGAAATATCTGATAATATTAGAAAAATTTCCTTGAATAGAATTTTTTAGTTTATTTTCACAAAAGTAATTTTTAAGGAGGAAAATGACCAAAATAAACTTTTATTAAAAGGTAAATATACATTTATACCTTTGGATTAACTAATCTAGATTTAAGATTTAGAGTTTGTGACAAAAAAAAAAAAGAATTAAGGTTTAGAATTAAGGCGCGGGGTTTTATATATAAGGTTTCAAATTTTTAAAATTAAAAATCAAATATTGCAAATTCAAAATAAAAAGTGCTATTTTGATTATTTTATTTTTGAAGCCTATTTTGTGACAAAAACTTAAAAGAGACTATTTGAGAGAGTTGCCCATAATATATTAATATTGTCAAGAAATTATTATCATTATACCAAAATATTATTATCACTATACCAAATTCTTTTTTTTGTTTGCCAGATATAAATTAAAATTATGTAATTTGCACGTACTAAATGTTATTTTAGTATATGCAAATTGCAGATGTTTGAATTATGCCAGGAAAAAATAGATAACTGAAAATATTATCGATATTATTATATATTATCATTATACCAAAATCCTTTTTTGTTTGCCATGTATAAATTAAAATTCTGTAATTTTTACGTACTAAAATTAGTACGTGCAAATTGTATGTTTGAATTATACCAGGAAAAAAATAGATAACTGAAAACATTATGTGAAAATATTATTCTTAGATCAATATTTTTTTTTGTCGGCCTTGTATAAATCAAAATTTTGCAGTTTGCATGTATTAAAATAATACAGTAGAATCTCTATAAATTAATACTCGATAAATTAATAATCTTAATAAATTTCACCAGTCCCAATTTGGACCGGTATGAAATATGACAAAAATCGATAAATTAATAAGATAATAATATTTTTAAAACTGCCATGTAAATATATGCTCCCACTAAAAGCATAAAATAATAATCTAGCTATATATAATTTTATATAAGTACAATCTAACATTATATTGTTGGTTTTATATTTACTGTAAAATACTTTTATTTTTTAAACGTTTCAATATATTTTGATAATATTTAGTTAGGGGTTTTATATTTACTATAAAAATACTTTTACTTTTTAAACATTTCAATATATTTTGATAATATTTAGTTAAATTATATCAAAAACCATGTAACAATTCTATGAAACATAAAAATATACACCAAATAAGATAATAAAACAATATAAAAGTCAAATTTCTAAAATTTAAATAATGTATATATGATAAAATCAAATATTTTTTATTTTATAAATAAAAATGGAAAAAATAAAAAAGAATCTAAATAAGGAAACTTTCGTAAATTAATATCTCTATAAATTAATAAAATTTCAAAGTCCTAACATTATTAATTTATAAAGGTTTTACTGTATTTAAGAGGAATATTTTAAACAAGTTATCAATATAGTATAATCTTTATAAGTTTTGTATCTAATAAATTAGTTAATTTATCCAAGTTTAATACAAGGCATACTTTTGGGCTCTCCACCGGAAATCTTTTCCGGTATCTTTTGGTGTTTCTCAGTCGTTTGGGCTTTTATTTGGTGGGATTTTGGTTACCATATCTTTTTTTGGGTGGTTTAAGTTTTTTAATACGGAAATCGATTAATTAGTCACGGTGATTTGTCTCTTTCTTTAAGTGTTTTCCCAATTTGCACGTCTTTCCTTTTTTCCATCAAGACTTGCCATATTTCTTGAACTCCTTTCCAAGTCTCCATGATCTCATTAAAGAGATCAACGGTATTTCTTCCTTGTCTAACATTGATCTCCTCCCATCACTCCCGCACCGCATTAATCGGAACGTTTACTCTCAGCCGTCTAGCAATACAGAGATGGCTGATGCTCTTAACTCTGCTATTCAAACCATGTCTCTTCATGATGATGATCCTATCGATCTACCTGATGACCCATGCTTCAACGTTTTCGAGGAAAACACTATGAGTCTACTAGGTCGCCTCCTAAACCCGTCTTGCCAGCCGATGGACAAGATGATAGAGACGATGCCACGTGTATGGAGAGTGTATGACAGGGTTCGGGGTATCGCATTGTCGACTGAGAAGTTCCAGTTCATCTTCTAAAGGGAAGAAGACATGATCACAGTCTTGTTTATAATAATTGGACTATGCTTCTTGACAGGTGGATTCCTTCTCCGCCGGCTAACTTTCTAACTACCATGGACGTATGGGTCTGTATCAAAAATATTCCGGTTAACCATCACAAGCTTGAAACAATGGAATACCTAGACAGGAAGATAGGCCATGTTATTAAGATTGCATATGACTCTAAGGCTTCACAGAAGGAAGCCTATATTAGAGCACATGTCAGACTTGATATCGCAAATCCAGCTATGGCGACCAAAACCTTAAACCTACCTTCTGGAGGGAGTGTTCTTTTGGAGTTTGAGTATGAGAATTTGAGGAAGAGGTGCCATCACTGCAACCGCTTAATTCATGAGAGGCCTCAGTGTCCCGTTCTCCATAACAGGAACCAGACCCCAGTGTTAAAGAAACAGAGTGACAGACAAGTTAGTGAATCTGGTCGTCCGCATGGTGCAGCAACGCTCACAATCCAAGGTCCTGCTGTCCCACCAGGTTTCAAACCAATGTTCCCAGAACTATCCCCAGAGGAACGTGACGTTGCTATGCAATACATATCACATAGCGATACGACAGAGCGTCAAGCTCAAATTTTGCGTGTTCAACAATCTATCTCACAACCTCAGGAAGCTCCACGCCCAACTATTTCACATGACTTAAATAAAAGCAAAGGACATGTCTTCGCCTTCGAGGATCCCACATGCCATCCAAAGAGGCAGAGTATCAGGAGCGAGCACTTTAATCCCTTTGTCACCCAGACGTGTGAAGCTATTGGAAAGACTCAAAGCTCGCCACTAGTTGGTGATGCTACCTCCTCTTCCTCATAATTATGTTCTACGGGTTTTAGTATTGGTGCCTCTTCTGAGGCCCAATCTGCCGGAACTAGGAGTGATGGTAAAAAGGGGAGGAGACGTCCTCAGAAATGGAAGAGATTATTGAAAAAAGCTCAGAAAAATTTAGAAACACCATAGTCACTCCCAAAGACAGAAGAGATGGGTTCAACAGAGGAGCTCAACGCAAAGAGGAAAGCTGTCTTGAGTGAAGGAGAACACTCTTACAAATCCCCAAACCCCCCCCCCAACCTACGGTGGCTTCCGTTTTGAAGCCGCTGTCATCCCAATGAGCATTATTAGTTGGAACTGTCAAGGAGCTGGAAGCACCGATACAGTTCAGCGTCTTCGAGAATTGAGAAGAGATCTTTTCCCGGATTTTTTATTTTTGATGGAAACAAAACAAAAGCGTGAGTAGATGGTTGGGTTACAAAAGGATTTTGGTTACGATGAGATTTTGACTGTTGAACCGGCTAGTCTGAGTGGTGGTTTAGCAGTTTTTTGGAAGAGTTGTTACAAGGTTGATGTGTTGGTAGCAGACAAAAGAATTATTGATCTGAAAGTCAGAGTTGGTCCGCTGGTTTTCTTTCTCTCATGTATATATGGGGATCCCGTACGAGCTCGAAGGAGTCTTATCTGGGACAGACTCAGTGACATCGGTATGGCTAGGAATGAGGCGTGGATCCTAGTCGGGGATTTTAACAAACTTCTGAATGCATCAGAAAAAGTTGGAGGCCCAACGAGGAATGAGGCTACTTTTTTGGATTTTCGAAACCTGGTAGAGAATTGCAAAATCAGAGAAGTCAAAAGCTCTGGAAATCCGTTATCTTGGGCTGGATGGAGAGACCAGATATGGATACAATGCAGACTTGACCGCAGTTTCGGAAATGATGAATGGTTCCAGTTGTTCCCCAAATCTCACATGGAGTATCTTGCGATGATAGCATCTGATAACAGACCAATTTTGATAAGGTTTGCTTTGGAAGAAAGAGAGATGGGACGTGGTGGTTTCATTTTTGGCAAGAGGCTGGCGAAGCAGAAATGGGTTGAGGAGATTGTTAGATATGGCTGGGGTAGTGACGCTCTAGCTCAGAACATTTCCTTGACAGAGAGGATTAATAGATGCCGTAAGTAGCTCTCTAGATGGAAACGAATAACATCGGTTAAGGCGAGTGGGAGACTTAAACGTTTGAAAGATGCGCTGTAAGAGGAGATTTCTAAAAGAAATCCATGCTGGTATAAATTGAAACGCCTCAAACAAGACTTGTTTCGAGCTTACCGGGCTGAAGAGTCCTTTTGGAGACAGCGTAGTCGTGTAAAATGGCTGAAACTGGGTGATCGTAACACTAGATATTTTCACTTATGCGCCAAAGGTCGCAAGTTAAGGAATCATATCATCATTCTCAAAGATGCCCAAGGTCGTGAACAGTTTAATGAGGGGTCTAAAGGTAGTATTGCATCAGATTACTTCCGTGACATATTCACCAGCTCCAATCCGTGGGACCTTGACAGTTTGTTTGAAGGTTTTACAAGTAAAGTTACTGCTGATATGAACACGATGCTAACAGCTCCGGTACTTGCAGAGGAATTTAAAATCGCCGCCTTTTCTATCAAAGGAGACAGTGCCCCTGGAGCAGATGGCCTAACAAGGACCTTTTATAAATGTTTCTGGTCAATTGTGGGGCAAAGTACGATCAGGGAGGTCCATGGTTTCTTTCAGACTGGAGTTCTTCCGCCCGGGTGGAACCATACACAGATTTGCCTGCTTCCTAAAGTGACTAACCCCACAGAGATGACCGAGTTGGCCAATAAGCTTGTATTCAGTGCATTACAAAATTGTCTCCAAGATTTTGTGCAACAGGCTTAAGCACATATTACCTGAGATTGTGTCTGATACTCAAGGTGCTTTTGTTGGAGGGCGTCTTATTACAGATAACATTTTGGTAGCTCCTGAAATGGTTCATGCCTTGAGAACAAAAGATGGGATAGATGACACCTCTCTAGCAATTTAAATAGATATGTCGAAAGCATATGATAGGGTTGAATGGTGTTTTGTAGAAGTTTTGCTCAAAAGAATAGGGTTTGACAGGCGTTGGGTATCATGGATTATGGCATGTATCAGCACTGTTACATACTCGATTCTACTGAATGGTGGTCAGCATGGATTTATTAAACCGGAGAGGGGAATTCAGCAAGGCGATCCTCTATCGCCTTTTCTTTTTATTCTCTGCGCTGAGGCTTTAGTGAGCACATTAAATCATGCTGAAGCTACTGAGAAATTAACAGGTATCAGATTATCATCACAGGGGCGCTCAGTGCACCACTTACTTTTGCAGACGATAGCTTACTCTTAAGTAAAGCTACAAGAGAAGATGGGTTGAGATTATAAGGAGATTGAAGTTGTATGGTGATGCCTCTGGACAAGTCATAAACACAGCCAAATCATCTATTATTTTTGGTTCCAAAGTACCAGTTAGTGTACGGGAAGAGATGAAGTTGGTACTAGGCATTACTTCTGAAGGTGGTGAGGGGTCGTATCTTGGGTTACCTGAATGCTTTAGTGGTTCCAAAAAGAAACTTTTGAGTTTTATTCAGGAGAAGGTACAAGCTCGTCTTCATGGTGGAGGGTCTAAAACTCTATCTCAAGGAGAGAAGGAAATCATCTGAAGTCAGTGGGACTAGCCTTACCGGTCTTCGCGATGACATGTTTCAAACTTCCAAGGGACCTCTGTGCTAAGCTAACGAGTATAATGACTGAGTTTTGGTGGGGAGGAACACCAGGGAAAAAAAATCGCCTGGATAGCATGGAAGAAACTTTGCAAGGCTAAAGAGCTAGGTGGCATGGGTTTTCGTGATATCGAGAATTTCAATCAAGCGCTTCTTTGTAAACAGGCTTGGCGCATTTGGTCCAACCCAAACTCACTGTTGGCTAGAGTTATGAAAAGCAAATACTTTCGTAAGGGTGACTTCCTTATGAGTGCTATTGGATCTCGGCCATCTTATGCTTGGCGGAGTATCATACATGGTAGAGATCTTCTCCTCAAGGGTTTGGTAAAGAGAGTGGGTAATGGCAGAAATACTCATGTTTGGTACGATAACTGGCTGATGATGGAAACGTCAAGACCACCGAGATATAGGACAGATGAAGTGGACCTTTCTATTCTAGTTTCTGACCTCATTGATGAGAGATATGGAACATGGAACACAGCTAGGGCCAGACACCTTTTTGTTGAAGAGGATGCTGATCATATCCTAAGTCTAAAGCCGAATATCAGCAAAGCAGACTCGTGGGTCTGGGGTTTTAGTCGAGACGGTTTGTACAGCGCTCAAAAGTGGATATAGGTTTTTAGACCACCTTCAGCTGGCAGTAAATCCATCAACCCCTTCTCTCCCACCGGTGGAGAAACGTCTCTGGTCCGTCCAACCTGTGGAAGGTAAATACTTTGCCTAAAATAAGGCACTTTATGTGGAGAGCTCTGGCTGGTGCTTTGGCAGTAGCGGAGAGACTTCATTCTAGAGGTGTACATATGGATGTTACATGCCAAATATGCCAATCTCATCCAGAGACCATATGTCATATTCTTTTCCATTGCAACACCGCAATGGAGGTCTGGAGATTGTCTGGTTTTCCTATGCCTTCAGTAGGTTTCTCATCTAATTCCGTGTTTCTGAATTTTTATGATTTGATGGAGGTTTGCAAAAAAAGATTGACCGATGAGAAAATAACTCTGGTTTTCCCGTGGATACTTTGGCACTTGTGGAAAATCAGGAACATGCTTCTGTTTGAGCACGTGAGTATGGAAGCTTCCAGTATATGGGAGAGGTTCAATTAGATGCAGAGGCAGGTGGGCGGCAAATAAAGAGGATCTTGATGAAGAAGATAATAACATGTTAAGTCTCTCCGCTATGTTTCCTTGGCAGAAACCCTCTGTGAACTTTTTCATATACAACATTGGGGTTTCATGGATTGATGACAAACAGAATAGTGGTGTAGCTTGGATAACGAGAGATCATACTGGTCAAACGTTAACTCACAGCCGTCATTCTTATTCCTTGGTTCCATCAAACTTGGAAGCTGACCTCTTAGGCTTTGCTTGGGCGGTCGAGAGTATCGTGTCCTTACATTATGACAGGGTAATTTTTGATTCTTCGGCATACCTTGCGGGGGAAGCAATACTGCACTCTGAGCTTTTCCTGCAATACTGAACTCTGATTGCTCAAATACACGAGAAGTTAGCATATCTCCGGCTTTGGTCCATCGCTTTCACGCATAAACAAGGGAACCGAATTGCAGAAGAGATAGCCATTAGCGTCACTCGTGACCATCGCTACCCTTCTTATATAGCACGGGACGGTCCTCCGTGGCTCTCCACTTGGTTGCAGGAAGAGGCAGACATAGACTTTGTATAATTGGTGTGGATGTTTTCTTGGCTCCTTCCTGCATGTTTTTGTCCGCAACGGAAGCTAGAGATCTTTCTTTGCTTTCCTGGTTGCTTTTTATTTCTGATTTTTGTTGAGGTGGACCAGGTGGTGGGTCCTTTTGACATCATGTATCCTCTGTTAGCCTTTGTTGCAGTCTTTTGATACACTTTTGGATTAATAAAAGTTTCACACAGCGTTACAAAAAAAATATATAAGGTATCGCCGTATCAGCCCAATTAATGTTTTTAATAATTTATTGAGGTTTTAAGATGTTTACGTTCGTTTGTCAAAAAAAAAGGATGTTTACGTTCTTTAGTCAAAAAAAAAATGTTTACGTTCCTTATTGAAGACATAAATGATGTTGGGATCATTCTAATAGAGTTGTTATATTCTGACAGTGGACCATTTAATTAATAATGCTGGTGTATCTCAAACTGTTTTGTTTGAGAGCTTCTCCCAAATTCAAGATGCTAATCCTATAATGGTAAGTTATTAATGGAAACCACAATCTTTTTTTTTTGTTTTTTTTTAATGTATTCATATTGTTGCCATATAGAATAGAGAAAATTACTCGGAATAACTCTTATTTTTCAGTTAATTACTAGTCTAACTTTCAGTTATTTATACATGTTCTTTTGTGTAATAAAAGACATAAAAGTCATTGATGTTAATAATTATTACGAAATGGTCATTTCCATTCATTTAATTTCACTAACAAATTAAAAACAAAAACATAAAAGCAAATATAGGATCGACTTAAAATGATTAAAAACTACAGCTTTTTTTTCCAAAAAACCACTATCAAATAGTTTTGTTTTTGGAAAGAAATGCTGTGGTTTTTAATCGTTTTCAGTCGATCCTATATTTGCTTTTCTTTTCTGTTTTTAATTTGTTAGTGAAATTAAATGAACGGAAAATAACCATTTCGTAATAATTATTAACATCAATGACTGTTATGTCTTTTACTACACAAAGGAGTATGTATAAATAACTTAAAGTTAGTCTAGTAATTGACTGAAAAATAAATGTCATTCTGACTAATTTTCTTTAAATTATGTGAAATATTTTGTTGTTTGCGTTCAAAAATGAAACTTAATCAAACTATATTTTTCACATATATAAATCTCATTTCACTTTCATTGTGTATATGTTAAAGGATACAAACTTCTGGGGCTCAACATACATCACTTATTATGCAATTCCCCATCTACGAAAAAGTAAAGGAAAAATAGTTGTGATTACTTCGGCTGCAGCAAAGATAGCTATCCCAGTGGCAACCATCTATTCTGTAAGATTTGTTCATCTTAACATATATGAAATATGGTCTTACTTATCTCTTGCATGTTTCTTGTAACATATATTAAAAAGTTTAGCTTTTCTTATAAATTACGACATCTAATATGTTAGTTTACAAAAAGAATCTTCTCCATTCAAATTCACATGTGGACCTCCACCCACACATTGGTGACTTATTAGTTACATACTTAAATAAGTATTAATTGGTTGAGCTAATTAATAATTTGATAACGCTGATGTTACTTGTCAATTATTATCGTAGGCAAGCAAAGCAGCATTGTTAAGATTTTATGAAGCACTGAGAATTGAACTCAATCCCGATATAAAAGTTACAATTGTTTTTCCTGGACTAATCTCCACGGATATGACAACTCCTGAGATTATAAAAAGAGTAAGTACTTTTATAAATCATCATTCATCCAACTAAAACTTTTAACAAAAGATAACAGTTCTAACTTTTTTGCACTAACTTCTTCATAAAATAATTTAATGATGTGTTTTGTTTCTGCATTTCTTTTTCATAATAGCACGGTTCAGATTTTATAGTATCGGAGCCAGTTAATAGATGCGCAAAAGCAATTTTTCAAGGTGTTTGTAGAGGAGAAGCATACATAGAAACACCAAGTTGGATTAAGTGGTTCTTTTTGGTGAAGGCAGTGTGTCCTGAATTAATCAATTCCATCTTCAACTATTCTTTCATCCATTTTCTCAAACCTTATTTCAAACGTGAATGAGAAAGAACAAATATATAGTTCTTTTGGGGCATAGAGGTTGCAACCGCAATGCTAAGATTGGACTCATCGTCATTAAAGGTTTCACATAATGGTTGGATTGGAAAGTTCATTTTCATAAACTTTGCAAATTCTACTTTTTTGTAATTTAAGTAGAGGTATTTTTGTTTCGAAATCATGTGATGTTTGTATTAGTGTCAAACAAACAAGAGATTTTTGGCATTACATAATAAAAATCATACTTTGAGTTAGTTCATTGCGATATATGGAGACTGTATCAAATTATCTTTACTTGAGGATCATAGTATGAGTGACTTTTTTAGAACAATATATATCTCTTACCTTCTAAACTACACACATCAACACATTAATAGAACTTTGTTGCTTAGTCCAACATTCCATATCAAAATCCGGAACAATTCTAAGCGATAATGACTCGAAGATTATCTCCTTCACCTGAGTATTCCAATAAACAAGGTTCATCTATGATACATCTTGTGTTAGTGTCTCCCCATGATAAAATAAGGGTAAAACATAAGATAATCACACCATGACTGAAGTCCACATACTATGGTAATTAAGTTTTTGAGTTATTGTGTCTTTACAACTTGTTATCCCATAAATTAACACCTCCATTAAATTAAATTTAAGCATTTGGTTGCCTTTAATATTTTCATAATCTAAAGCATGAAGGGGATAAATTTAAGTTACACAAAAAAATCTATTTTATTAACCTTTGGGAAAAGGATTGGAAATTTTTTAATATCAAAACATAACGATATTTAAAGAGGTGCAATATTCTGTGAAATTGTTATCGTCATGTATATTCACAATCGTCTTCTCTACCGTCAGACATGATCATATGCCATACATTTTTTATGACAGTTATGACACTATTGAATCTTCCTCACATGTTCAAATGGGAAACCTGAAACACTGCTTCTTCTTTTCTTGATGATGACCTCTAGTTAATGTTTGGATAACTCATGTTTAGTTGATACTCATTCACCTAACCTTGAAACCGAAGAATATACAGTTATCACACAACCAGTAACTAAATATATGGTGTTGTCTCCAACGAATATTTGATCTCAGCATCTTCTACATTTCTGTTTTTGAATAAGTCTGATTATTAAGCACATATCTTGGCTATTACAATTAGAGTTGAACAGAGATCGAAGATGAAAACTTCATGTTTGTTAGTGAGATGAAATTGTAGTGTTCAAAGACACTTGTACTTGGACTGATATAGATTTACCAATAGAGAAAACAGCTTAGGCTGCAATTGAGTTTTCTTTGAAGAATTATTCTGTTGGTACATTTTGAAGTCATAAGGTCCGCCTTGTGATTTTAATCAATAACTAAATGAGGATACAAATTGTAATGATAGTAATTCTCACTTTGTAAAGATAGTAACAATTGCATTGTTTTATCTATTCATCCATATGCATTTTGATCATATAAACTAGGATTTAGCCATTTCTAGATTGCATTTTGCATACATGAGTTCTTTTCAGGTACTGTATTATCCTTGGAGTTCTTGGGGGTGATAGTAAGCATTTGAGCTCCCAAAGAGGAGTTAGAAGCGATTATTGTACGAGCAGGGTCCAGAGAGAGGTGCCAAAGCGAGTCCCTGAAGTCGCTCCACCCCAGAGCGACGTCCGAGAGTCGCTCCTTGAAGTCGCTCCAGCCCTTCAACGACAAGCAGCCACATCGACCCATCAGAGCGACCTGTCGAGGTCGCTCCAAACCCGGAGCGACGTGTGGAGCGAGGCACCTAGGTCCCTCGCCTTTTCATCAAATCTGGAAGCCGAAGATGGCCTTGGAGCGAGGTCCTAGAGCGACCTGGCCAGGTCGCTCCAGCTCCAGAGCGACCTCAAAAAGCGACGTGGCCAAGTCACTGCATGTTTTGTTGTGACGAAAACTTGTGTTATTTTAAGGACCTTTTGGTCATTTGTTTCATGTTTTGACATTTGCTAAACCTAATTTAAGTACCATGCAAGCCTACCAGACAGTTTCATCTTGATTTTGAAGAGAAAACACACAAAAACCTCTTGCAAAAGTTCATCTTTTTGAATCATTCTTATTGTTCTTGTGATCATGTTCTGTTTCATTGCATATTCTACTCATCTTATATGATTAAGCTTGAATCCAATATGGGTTTAAGAGGAATCATGAAGATTAGTGAGTAATTCACTTTTGAATTCATGGGATAAGGAAATTAAGGGTGATTAGGTTAGAATTAGGATGTTTAGTGTAGATTTCTCTTATTCCTTGCTAGTAGAGTATTCTTAATGCATATTTTGAGTTGGCCTCTCAAAGGTTGAGCTTTAGGCATTTCCCACCTCACAAGGTGTTCGATGAAATGCATGAACCAACTCTCCTAAGATTTTAACATAGTTTACCAAAGACATTTGTTGTTAAAGGTGTTAAGATGTCTAATAGACTTATTCTTAAAGATTACTTATGTAACATTTAACCGAAGACATTTGATGTTTGAGTTATGTTGGTAAATAAGCACTCATCTAGACATAGAGATTGCTGCTTAGAAGTGTGTCTAGGCTTAAGGTTTATAGTTTAATTGATCATTTTCCATCTTTAGTTCGAAGTTTGATCACCCAAATCTAATCCCAATCAAGAAAGTCATTTTAATTATCGCTTTTGTTATTCTTAATTATAGTTTAAAACCATCATTTATTCGATTGCACTTAGGTTAAGTGATTACTTGCATTCTCCGTGCTTTAAAATCCCTTAGAATTGGTTCGACAATCATTTCTACTACAACATTTGTCTTAGGAGCCTTGAAAACTCATAACTTCATATTGGCGCCATTGCCAAATTATGAGTAGATTTTAACATTGAGGTTTAGTCACTTGCTTGAGACTAAGTCATTTTTCTTTTATTTTGTTACTGATTCTCCATCTTCATCTCTCTTTGGATTTCAGGTGTATGAACTTGAGGAGCAAAGGCACAACAAACCTTGTTCCAAGAGTTCCAGATATCAAGGCGTTTGAAAGAGAGATAGCAAGACAGAGAAAACAAGCAGAGCAACAGGCTCACTTACAAAGTTTGGACACTGAAATGGAAGACCCACCACAAAGAGTTAACAACCATGTCCAACACCCACCAGTGCACCCACCGTGTCCTGCTCGCCCAATTGGTACATATGACAGCCCAAACATTCAAGGCAATAGGTTGAGAATCAGAGCACCAGCTGTGGAGGCCAACAACTTTGAGGTCAAACTAGGACTCCTCAACGTGATCGAGAACAACAAGTATCATGGCTTGCCTGTAGAAGACCCATTTGATCACTTGGACAAGTTTGACAGCTACTGTGGGTTGGCAAAGACCAATGGTATGTCCGAGGATGCATTCAAGCTCAAGCTATTCTCTTTCTCTTTGGGGGACAAGGCACGTAAGTGGGAGAAGTCTCTACCTAGTGACTCCATCACCACCTGGGATGAATGCAAAAGAGCATTCTTGGAAAAATTCTTCTTTACCTCAAGATCTGCTAAGCTGAGAAATGAGATCTCCAGCTTTCAACAAAAGAATTTGGAAGGATTCAGTGAAGCCTGGGAGAGATTCAAAAGCTACCAAGCTCAATGTCCACACCATGGTTTCTCCAAGGAGAGTTTGCTGAGTATATTTTACAGGGGTGCTCTTCCTAAGTACAGAGCTAGATTGGATACTGCTAGCAATGGGTTCTTCTTGGGAAGATCTGAGGAAAATGCAGAGGAGCTGGTTGAAAACATGGTTAAGAGTGACACAGTCTACAGTGAAGACCATGATAGAGGCAGTAGAGGTGATGACAAGCAGATAAGGAAGGAACTAAATCTCTACAGGATAAGATAGACATCCTCATTGCAGAAAAAGCTACTCAAGAGCAGCTGAACTTTGTTGGGAACACAAACCATGAAGCACAATCTGTGACAAATGAGGTTGATGGAATAGAAGGTCAAGAAGAGCGGTGTTTCATCAACAACAATGGTATTTGGTACAAGAAAGAACCAAACTTTCGATACAATAACTACCCACAAGGAGGATAAAAGCAGAGGAACAACCAGCAAGGCAGCTATCAGCCTCAGCAAAACCCACCTCCAGGTTTCACAAACAAGGGGAACCAACCTTCTCAACAACAACAACAACCTAACACTTTTACATCTACTCCTCAGGAAACCAGCACTGATGCTCTACTGAAACAGATTTTGGAGTCTCAGACTAGAAGTGAAAAGCATGTTGGATATGAGCTGAAAAACCTCCACGCCAAGATTGATGTCAGTTACAATGACCTGAACAACAAGTCCAGGGCTTTAGAGAACCAGTTTGCTTCCATGAACACTAACCCAAACTACCAGCAAGGATCTCTACCTGAAAAATCAGAGCAAAACTCCAAGGAGACTATGAAAGCTATTACCCTAAGGAGTGGAAAAGAATTACATACTAAGACTCTCAACAAGGATGTTGAGAAATAAGGTGAGAGGGTGGCCATCAACATAGATTATGAGGTTGTGATTGTGTATGGGAAGATCAATGATGAGATCCTAGAGAAGATTATTGAAGCTAAGGGTAAAAGAAAGGTTGGGGAAGAGAAGAAAACAGTAAAAGATGGTGAAGTTGCTGCTCCAGCAAATGAGAACACTTTTGTTCCTCCTCCTTATGAACCCAAAATTCCATTCCCTGGAAAATTCAAGAGGCTACTAGAGAAGTACAAGGCTTTGTTTGAGAAGCAAATGAGTGAAGTTCAAGTCACAGTGCCCATCATTGATGCTTTCATGCTATTTCCTCAATATAGCAAGTTCCTGAAAGATGTTGTAACTGCAAAAAAGAAGGAGATGGAAGGTATGATGATGCTTACTCATGAGTGCAGTTCTATTATCCAGAGGCTTGATGTTCAAAAGAAGCAAGAAGATCCAGGATGCCTTACATTACCTTGTGCTCTTGGACCTATGGTGTTTGAGAGATGTCTTTGCGATTTGGGAGCTAGTGTCAGTTTGATGTCTTTGTCTGTTGCAAAGAGGCTTAGATTCACTCAGTACAAGAAGTGTAGACTATCTCTGGTGTTGG